GCTATTATATCACTATTATAAAAATAACTAATCAACATAAATAATTGTCATAAAAATATTTACCATAACTCAAAGAGAAATAGTAATGTCATAATATCATCACCACCTTAAACCCTAAATAACATGCACACCACCTCCACGCCACACACCACAAACATCTACACCACACTACCACTCAACAACACCAACTCCATACCACACACCGACACATCCACACACGTAACACACTACCATCACCACGGCACAAACCACCACATCCACACCACCCCCTTGACAACGCCACCTCCATGCTACACAATGTTGCATCCACACACGTGACACCACCACCTTTACAACACACACCATCACATCCACACCACACCAAACCGCACCATCACTCTACAACACTACCTCCATACCACACACTGACACATCACCACCTCCATATCGCACGCCACCACATTCACACCACACCACCAATTTACAACATCGCCTCCATACCACACACCGCCACATCAACACCGACACATCACCACCTCCACAACACACACCACCACATCCACACCACACCACCTCCATACCGCACACCACCGATATAACAACACCTTCATACAACACACTAACTCGTCCATGCACACACATCACCACCTCCACAACACACACCACCACCCTACAACAACACCTTCACGCCACACACCAACTTGTCTACGCGCACACATCACCTAATCCACAACACACACCACCACACCACACTACACAACCACCCTACAACCCCACCTCCATACTACACACTGACACATCCGCATCGACACATCACCACATCTACAACAAACACCACCACATCAACACCACACCACCACCCTACAACACCACACACCATCACATCCACACTGACACATCCCAATCCATCATTTTGGGAAACCACCACTGTCAACACCGCCACTAAAAAGGGCAGCATAGCATTACAACATAACCTGTATTTTAATTAATTCTTCATGCAATCACCACGACCATAAAAATTTGGGCAACAACCAACATCACATCATAGCCATCCAAATCCATCAATCTAACAACGAACATGGAAGAAAAACAATCAAATTGAGAGTATAATAGTGATCCCAATAAAATTGTAAAATCCAACAACACAAACCAGCCCTCTAAATCCAATGGAACAAACAAACTAGATAAAGCACATTGAACCAAAATCTCAAATTCCAACATCACCAGCACAGATAACCCAGGGAAATCCTAAATTCTAACATCATAGCACAAGAAACCAAAAATATTACAGTATAGCAAATAACAAAAAAAATTTAAACCATAAATCAAAATGCCTCAATAAAAGGTAGTAGAGAATACTATGGGGACAACACAAAGCCAATGATTCAAACCTAGCCGAAGAATAGCGGGTGAGTGATAGGTATCGAGAAAGGCAAGCTCACCACAACAACCACCAACCAATGATCTAAACTACACCGAAGAACAGAGGGGAGAGGGAGAGGAGAAAAGAAAGGAACTAAACATTAGCCACATATTGAAGAGAATCAATAGATCCTATGTGAGTTTAGGGCAAAAATTGTGAGAGAAGAAAGAGGGGAAATCGGCTCGAGAGAGGAAACAACAACAATCGGGAGAGATTTGACGGTAGGGCTGCAAACATAATCTTGAAGAAACACGGGTCATGGGATCGAACCTGTGGTTCGAATTTCAAATGACTTTCCCACACGCCGCACCACGACATATATGTCGTGCCGAATGGACACTCATTCAGACATACCATCATGCTTATAAATATTCTATCACCAGATAACTAAATAATGATATTACTTCGAATTTTATATTAAATTGAAGCAAGTGAATTGTACTTAGAATGATTAGAAAAATAAAATTATATATATAACTTCTCTT